TATTTGGAAGTGATATTAATTGTGACGCTGGTGATTATTGCCATTTGTGTGACTGATTATGAGCATATCACTAGTCGGATTGACTAGATTAATGTATTACACTTTGTGTGAATGCGTTTGTGTTGTGCGATAATTATTTACTCCTTAGGAAAACTTCAAAAACTCACATGTCTTGTTTGATTTTTCAGGAAGTAAATTTTTCTTTAATTCGATTTAGGCTATGTTTCTTCGGCGCAAGGCAATAGAGAAATTTTTCTAGTTCCATAATTATTTTACTATGTAATTATATGTATAAAAAGCTATATATACCAAACAGTTAGTGACTCTACAGTTGTAGAATTTACATATGTTTAGTCGTGTATTAATATAGATGAAATGATTCTGAGAGCCATATTATAAATGTAACATATTGTAAATTGGATTCAATCCATGAAATGTTTAAGATGTTAAATTTGGGCCGAGGTATAAAATATTTATGAGATTTATTTTGCATAGTAATATGGGCTGAATGTTTGAAATTTATATTAAAATTTATATTGAGATAGTAAATTTTAGTGTTTCAGGCTTACTACGGGCCTCGGGGGCTTTAAGCTTACCTTAAGCTTACCTGGGCCCTAGTGCGCGGTCCGGCCCATGGAAATGGGTCGTGACACTACAAGAAAAAACATGATTGCAAACTCAATAATTCCAAATTATGGTAAATTTTAGTGTTTCAGGCTTACTACGGGCCTCGGGGGCCTTAAGCTTACCTGGGCCCTAGTGCCGGTCCGGCCCATGGAAATGGGTCGTGACACTACAAGAAAAAAACATGATTGCAAACTCAATAATTCCAAATTAGCAAAAGCTTAATGTACTTGATAGTTAAAGCTGTCAAAAGCAATTAAAAAGCTTTTATCATTGTAAATTTGGTCACAACTGTTTACGTCAGGAACGAATATATGTTATTCTTAGTTAAGTTTTGAAAACAACCACGGTTTATTTTTAAAAGCGCGGGTGTGTTTTGATTATTAAAAAAATGTGGAAATTAGAGTTTGTTTTTAGTATTTGTGCATTTTTTCAATGATTTTTGTTTCTCTGTGCTAGTTAATGGTTGTGAACTTCTGTAAGCCACTTCCATTTTATGGCCTTGTTATTAGTAGTTGTGCAATTTTCCAATAGTTTTTATTTCTCTGTGTTAATTAACGGTTGTGAACTTTTGTAAGCCACTTTGTGGCCTTTTTATTATTAGTTGTGCATTTCTGTAAGTCATTTTATAACGTTGTTATTATTAGTTGTGCATTTTTTTAATAGTTATTGTTTTGTGTGTTAGGTAACGGTTGTAAACTTCTGTAAGTCACTTTTGTGACCTTTTGTTATTATTAACTATGCACTTTTAAAAATATAGTATTTTTTTTTTCAAATCCTCGTTATGGTTGTACCCTTTTGTAAGTCACTTTGTGGCCTTGTTATTATTAGTTGTACACTTTTTCAGTAGCTGTTTTTTTTTTTTTTTTTAATGTAGGTAATGGTTGTCAATTTCTGTAAGCCACTTTGTGGCCATGTTATTATTAGTTGTGTGCATTTCTATAAGTTATTTTGTGGCCTTGTTATTATTAGTTGTGCACTTTTTCAAATCCTTCTAGTGGTTGTACTCTTTTGTAAGCCATTTTATAGCCTTATTAGTTGTGCACTTTTTCAAATCCTTCTAATGGTTGTACTCTTTTGTAAACCACTTTATAGCCTTATTATTATTAGTTGTGCACTTTTTCAAATCCTTCTAATAGTTGTACTATTTTGTAACCCGCTTTATGACTTTCTTATTATTAGTTGTGCACTTTTCAAAATGTAAAGTTGTCATACATTTTGTTGTCATACATTTTGGTAGATTGTGCATACTTTCAAATTAAAACTTGTTAAGAGACCAAATAAATAATTGTCATTTTTAAGGAAGGCATAAGTATATGAAAATAACTTGAGAAGACAAGATAAGAAGATTACAAATTGAGAAGATAATGAATCTCATTAATTTAGATCAGATCAAGAAAACCTAGGCAAAAACTGAAAAAAAAAAAATCAAAAATGTATATTTAAAGAACAAACTTTTAAAACTAAATATAGCTAACCATTTAAAGACATAAGTTCAGATTATATCAATTTTTTTCGCTTTTAGGCACATATTCTGTAAAACATCCTCATTCTAATAAAGTGTAATAGAGTTAATAAAAAAGGTTTAGGGTGACATCCCAAATGATGCAAGTAGGCAATAAATGCATTTTTTGGGACTGTCTATTGTATCAGCTATTGTTCTCATAATTAATAAAGAAATGAAGGACATTTTAGGAGAAAACTTTATTTAACTAACTTTCTTAATTCAAGAGTTTTTTCTGTTTTCTTTAAATAAAGAGAACAGAGGGAGTAAAACGAAAGAGTACTTAACTACTTCCTCCCTTTCTAAATAGTTATCACATTTGAGAATGTACTAGTTCCAAAATATTTGTCACATTTGTAGTTTCAAGGAATAATAATTTATTTTTTCATGTTTACTCTTTACATACTACCAACAATTATTGCTCCAATTCGATGTTTGAATTTATTAAATTAAGGATAATATAGACAATTTATTCAATAATTTATTATAATTTATATAAATTTAATAATTTTAAGAGACGTTAGAAGTATTTAAAACTTGAAATAAGAATTTCTAAATTTACTTATAAGTTAAAAAAATCAACATTTGGCTTATACTGACCGCTTAACAACAACATAGATGTAGTAAGTCATTTTATGGAACGGTACTGAAATATCGATTTCAATACTAATCAAGATTACCCTAAATAGATAAAAGAAAAGAAAAAAGATTACCCTAAATAGATAAAAGAAAACAAAAAGATTACCCTAAATAGATGGATAACCATACACAGATGGGTTTAATGGTTTGATCGATAATGGTAGATAATTAGCGATAGGTATTGGAAACTTACATAATTAGAAAACCACTTGATTATTAGGCCTCCTTTTTTTAAAGACATTTAAAAAAAAAAAAGTTTCGAAAAATGTTGTTTAAAAAATATTATGCAAAAGTGTCATTTTTAATTTATTTTATATTTTTTTGGCATTGGAAATACTCAAGAAAAGAAGTCAATAAAAATATTTCCCAATAAAGAAAGAGATGATGATGATGAATAATCTGTCAAAAATATCCTTAATATTAGAGATGTCCTAAATTTTTTTATACATGAGAGGTTCAATAGACCTAAATAATATTGTGGACTACATAGCAGGAATAACTCTTGCCATTTAAATAATATTCACTAAATATACGATAATATATAGTATATATGTACTAGTTTTTTATAATGTGTGTTGAATGTTGTTATTGCTTTTTTTTTTTACTCGTAATTTATACTCGATTATTATTTTTTAAATAATATTAAATATTAATTATAATTTTTCTTCTGTATTATTTAAGTTTTTAATAATGATAAAAAAATATGATTTCATAGTGAGATTGATGATTGATGCGAATATAATGGCCAGTAATTAAATATATGTAATTTTTTAGGAAGCAACTTTTTATTATTGAAAAAGAATAGAATCAGCAATAAAACTTATAGCATACCTTAGAATTGGAATTTAAACTATGGGTGAAAAATATTTGCAATCCGTTGATTTATATTTACACTTTATATTTATTGTCCTTTTTTATTTTTTGCGAAAGGGAGGGATTAGTTTCCCTTGCTAATTCATCCTAATTAATAACATAAGAAGCACCAACATTATTTTTATTTCAGAAAATTATCTCTAATATTTATCATCTAATGTTAAACTCTTCTCGAAAAAAAAAATCATCTAATGTTAAACTATAATTACACAATTTAATAGTTCAAATTAATAAATTGATTTCAAAAGTTATATTTATTATAATAAAATCTAAATTTATTCAATTTTAAAAATTTTTCCTATACCAAAATCAGAAGCATTCCATCTTTAATAGGAATCTTCTTGAACCAAATGGAAAGCACCAAAACTCAAAACAAAATCCCCATAATAATTGTAAAAAAAGTTTTTATTTTTCCATTAACAAAAGGAAAAATTTTATGGGCATAAAACATTTTCTCTTTCAAAAAAAAAAAAAAAATTCGTCGGTCCCTTGATTCTTAGAGCATCTCCAATGCTAATTTAGATTGTAGTCGACGTGTCAAATAGAGTAGAAGATATAATACTGATGTGGTTGAATGTCTATTTTGCTCTTCTATCCACCTTTTTTTCTTTTCTTTTTTAGGCCCACAATTCAATATGCAACGAATAACTATAGAACAATAAATGCAAACATTTTCTAAGAGACCCTCTAGAAATAGAAAGTGTGCTAGATGATGCCTCGGTTCCACTTTAATAGCAATAAATGAGTATTTTATTTTGTTTCATTTAAGTTTTCATTTAAGATTTTGAGAGTATATTAATTTTTTTTTAAAATTTTACTCATATTTAAAAGGTATTTTGTAGTAAAATTAATGGGGAGTTTTTAATTTTGAGAAATGCAATTTAGACATTCTGGGCATTTTACCTTATTTCACTTTAGGTGCTCATTTAATATTTTGAGAGTACACTTTCAAAAAAAAAAAAAAGATTTTGAAAATATATTAATTATTTTTTTCAATTTTACTCTTTTGTGGCAAAATTAATAGGGAAGTTTTTAATTTGAAGAAGAACAATTTAGATATTATGGGCATTTTATCTTGTTCACTTTAAGTGCGCAGTTAAGATTTTAAGAGTATATTACTTATTGTTCTTTTCAATTACCCTTAATTATTAGGTATTTTGTAGCTAAATTAATCGAGAATTTTTATTTTTAAAAAGAACAATTTAGACATTCTATTGTATATTTTTAAAAAATAGATATGTTCTAATTATTTTCTTATTTTTATAAAAAGATAAAATATTACTATTAAAATAGAAAGATTGAAATAATATATATATGGGAAATGGAAGGTAGCACAAGAGCAACCAGCAACACTTAGACTATGCCTCCTCTATCATCATCTATTGGAATTATTTATTTTCTCAAGGGAAACAACTATTTGGTCACTGGCGCTACTGGTTTTCTGGCTAAAGGTATATTTCTTTAGTTTATGGCTTTAAACATTAATAAAATTATTAGTTTGATGACTGTAAGTGTTGGATTTTATGCAATATCAATATCTATTTTATATATTTATTTCTTGATTTGGTTTTTTATTTGCACTTTATTTTCTTTTCCAGAAGAAATTAAAACTGGAAATTACATGAAAAAAAAATCCAGCACCAGTTAAAATAATATTTTTTTTTTAGAAGAAATTAAACTGGAAATTTTATTAAGTGGAAATTGTATATAGATATGAGAGGCAGATCAATATATTTCTATATTTTTGTATAGGAAGTCTAATAATGAATCACTTATACAAAGAATAAAAAAAATCTTAATTTGAAGTATTTGATCGAGTTGATAGAGCATAATATTTATGTCATAAGCGATCACTTGCTCCACTTGGTGGCTATTCATAGTTACTGTTTGACTCCATGGTCTTTCTATAAGTCCGATCTGATTACCTTTGAATTTCTTTCTTCTATTGGAGAGGGGATCTGTACTTCTGTCTGCATAATTATTCAAATAATAAAAGACGCTAGACAAAATAATAATTTTTTTTTTTTTTTTTTTTTTTTTTTTTTTTTTTTTTTTTTTTTTGCTGCAGTTTTAATTGAGAAGATGCTGCGGATGGTTCCTGACGTGGGAAGAATTTTTCTCATGATCAAAGGAGAAGACAAAGATGAAGTAAAGAGAAGACTGAAAAATGAAGTATGTTTCTTCCTCTTGAATTAGTCTGTGTATTTTGGTGAAATTAATTATTTAGCCCCTGTACTTTCAAAAATACATTCTTCAGTCCTTATAGTTTACAATTGTTAAATAAATTAATAATTTGGTAAAACATTTATACTTTTTGCTATTAAGTACCTACAGACAAAAATACTAACATACTATTTATCCTATTTTTGTTGTATTTTTTATGCTGAAAGCAAATATTAATTGTCTTTTGAGAGGAAATGTTAATTTTCTTAAATGATATGCATAACTAACGATTAATTCATATTATCAAAAGATAATATGCTAAACGCAAAAATACATGATTTTTATTATTAAAAAAAAACTTTTGCATAAAAAAGTCAATACAAACAGAATAAAGGGTGTTTTTGTCTATTTTTTAAAAAATTTCATGGAAGAAAGTATAATTTTTTTATAAACCACCGGTTTTTGAATCCCATTACCTGGGAATTAGTCATAGTTAAAGCTCATTAACCCTCTCTGCAGGTGCATTTAATGAAGATTAAATTCAAAACTCTTCCCACATGTTCAGTTTGCATTACAAACTGAGCGACAACTCGCAGGTGGAGAAAGTACACATTTTAAATGAGATGACTTACTAGTCTAATGGGAGTAAATTATGGAAATTCATTATTGTCTTTTTAAGAAATCGTAGATTAATAATTAATTTCATCAAACCAAAAGGACTAAATAATAATTTACCCTTTTAAAGATGATTTATTCCAAAATTCCTAATCACTTAAAGACATATATACATATGGGAGATTGGGATTAGCAAAATAATAAAAAAATAAAATTTATTTAACTTGATTGGTTATATTAGTTTTGGCTAAAAAATAAAATAAAATAATACTAAAAGAAAATAAGAAATTTTAATAGTGGCAAAATTAATAATAAATTTAATAAAGTGAAAAAAAATCTCTAATTTAGAAGTTATTTATTAATTAAAATATTTAAATAGTGCCATAGAAATTGTCATATCTTAATTACAAATTAAATATGGCATATCACTAAATAATGGTATCACTAACATATATATATATATATATATATATTATATATATAATATAAAATAGTTTTATTTTACTTTCGTTATTAAGAATTTCAAGTATATAAAATAGTTTTATTTACTTTCGTTATTAAGAATTTCAAGAGTACGTCAAATACTCGTCGCTTGACTTATTATTGGCAACCCTTTGATGTACTAATTTTAGTTTTTATTAATTTTATTTCGATGTCAATATTATTCTATGTGTTTTCAATATTATTCTTTATTAATTACAATTGAACTTTTAAATTCTCTAAATTTTACTTTGTGTTTATGTGTAAATTATTATACTCTTAAAAATTAATAGTTGATGTATTCAATTTTTAACTTATGCCTACTAATAGAAGTCGGTTTAATATTGTTATTATTATTATAATTACTATTTGTTTATTTTGATAATAAATCATTAATTTCTTTAAGAAAATCTTTATTGTATTTTTATTATTGAGTGGATATTTTCTAATTATTCTATAATAAAATTAAATTTCGTAAATTGTTATGGATCTTTTTTTCAATATATTTTAGAATAATAGAATTAAATTTTGTAAATTATTATGAATCTTTTTTTATCTTTACATTTATGAATATTTTTACTCACATTTTTTAGAAAACAATATAATTACAGAAGAAAATGAAACTATAGTAAACACTTATTTAATTATAAATCTTTTCTATAATTTTATTTATATTTTATTAATTGTTGTATTTTAATTTTTTTTTACTGAGTTTAAAACAAGAATGAGCATTGTTCTGGGTAAAAATATTTATGGAAGTAACACATGTAATGCACATTCTTAAATACTACTGCGTGAGTATAAATATAGTAACTTGTGTAATTTTGTAATAGGTGATAGATGAGGAACTATTTAGATGCTTGAAAGAAATTCATGGAAAATCCTATGAAGCATTCATGAGGAGTAAGCTTTTTCCGGTGCTTGGAAACATATGCAAAGATAATCTGGGGATGGATGCTTATACTGCTCGTGAAATCGCAAATCAAGTCCATGTAATTATAAATATAGCAGCCAACACAACCTTTGATGAAAGGTAGGCAGTATAGCATACAACAATCACAATCAAACCTTAGTCTCCAACTAGTTGAGATTTGCTATATAAATTCTTTGACCGGCAGCAGTGTTTTAAATGGTATTTGCTATTTTAATTGGGTCAAAATATTATCTTAATTAATTATAGCGTACAGTAATATAATATTTATCTTAAAATTTAGAGTTTGAGACAGTATTTCATGAAAACGTTATTTTTCATAACATTTATATTTTTTTATAAAACTTGTACGCATCCATTGTCTTTATCTTGTTCCTCGTTTTCATACTTTTTTTTTGTTATTTTATATTAAACAGCTAGTCAAGTAGTTATTTGTACCGAACTTTTTTAATCTAAACCGTTATATAAATAGCTAATCACTAATAACTAATATTTAACAACTAACTACTAGTAAAGGGCTGACAGCTATTAAAATAGTTAACAGTTACTAGAACAGTTTTTAAATATGCATTTTGATCAAATTTAAATTAGTGCAAAAAGCGATCAGAAAAAACTTTTTGTAAAAAAATTTTGAAGGGAAATTCGAAAATCATTTTATATATTAATAAATGTTATAAGTATTGTTTGCATGCTCCCCTCTCTGAATATTAAGTAATGAACTGCATATATATAGGTACGATGTTGCCCCGAACACAAACACCAAAGGACCTTCTCGATTATTAGACTTTGCAAATACATGCAAGAACCTGAAGCTATTCTTACATGTCTCAACCGGTAATGATCAATTAAGTTTATTAAATATCTAAGTGCATAAATTAATTAATTATATTAATAATATATTATGATCAATTATATATATATAAAACAGCTTATATTAACGGAGAAAGAGATGGAATAGTACTAGAGAAGCCTTTCCATTTGGGTCGAAGCGCAGAAGAGAGGATGAACTCAACAACATCATCATCACAAGTTTCTCTCCCTTTGTTGGATGTAGGTGCAGAGATGAAATTGGCTTTTGAGATGATGAAATCTCTTGAATATAATAATAAAAGAGATCAAAAAATGAAAGATTTGGGCACTCAAAGGTAAATTGCTTTTGTTTATAAATATTCTCCCTTTTTTCCTTTTTTGCACCATGTTGTCAAGGCAGACACAACCCAAATTGTTACTATATTTTCTTTTTTTGCAGACCATTGTTGGTCAAGGCAGACACAACCCAAATTGTTACTAATATATATATATTATATATATATTATATATATATTAAAAAATCTTTTTGCAAAAATTAAAATCTTCTGCTGATTCTCAATGCGCCTGTGGTGATGCAGGGCTAAATGTAAATGGGTCTATGACAATTAAAAAAAATCTTTTTGCAAAATTAAAATCTTCTGCTGATTCAATCGCCTGTGGTGATGCAGGGCTAAAATGTATGGGTTCTATGACACTTACTCATTCACCAAAGCGATGGGCGAGATGCTAATAAATAGCAAAAGAGAAAGTCTTACAGTACCAATTGTCATCGTCCGTCCCAGCATTATTGAAAGCACCTACAGAGAGCCGTTCCCTGGATGGATACAAGGAAACAAGTGTGATATGAATTATGCATCCTTCGCTAGCTAGCTATTAACTACTTAATTCTATTCTTTTCTTTATTAATATATTTTATTAACTTCTTATGCTATTTATATTTAATTATATCATCAGAGTGATCGATCCGCTGTTCATATCCTATGGGAAAGGTCAACTTCCAGGTTTTGTAGGAAACCCCAATACAATTTTGGACATTGTATGTAAGCATATGTCCATATGACATATACTTATCTTTATCTCTAGTTATATCATATATGAATGGCATATAGAACTAATGTACCTACATAAATACAGGTACCTGTGGACATGGTGGTGAATGTGATCCTAACAGCTATCGCAAAGCATGGAAGTAGTGTTAAAACACAAGCAGCAGAACTTATATACCACATAACTTCTTCTGTTTCTAATCCTATTTCCTTGGCGACGTTTTCAACTTTGCCTGGCATCATTTCACTTGTTTTCAATTAGTAAACTCTGAAGGGATCGCAATTGGCATCAAGAAGTTCAAGTACTTCAACTCAATTCACACTTTCTCTTCTTGGCTTAGGGAGCAATCACAAACAGAATATTGCATAAAAAGGGTTAATCGATTTCTTCATATAGCTAAAATATATGAGCCCTATGCATTTTGTAAAGCACGGTATGTACTAGTTAGAATATCTAACAGTATTTTATATTCAAAAGATCAATGTGTGCATGGCAGAAAATTGAATTATGAGTTAATAATATATAATTTCTAACAGGTTTGACAACAGCAACACTAAGAAATTGTTAGAAGACATGTCTGGTGAAGAGAGGAACATGTTTGGATTTGATGTGGAGAGCATACAGTGGAAGCATTACATCGAAACTGTTCACCTTCCAGGTCTCCGCAAACATGTTCTCCAACAAAAGCTTTTAGCAGGTTCAAGATTGTGATAAGTTAATCTATTTTGTAAGAACAAGATCTGTAAACTATATCTTCTCAAAAAAAGAAATCTGTGAACATTACAAACTGTAGTACTATTGGTTTGCTTTCTCATTTGTTCCCATTTGGAGTATATATATATATACACACTATTGGTTGGCAAATATTTTTATTAATTACTTGATTTAGGAAAATTGTTGGTAAACCCTGTATTGATTAATTACCTCATTCAATTTTACTCCTTTTTGGTATATTACATGTGTTGAGAAAAATAAATCAACCAAAATGGCTTAATTTGTGTTAGCGTATAAATGCATGCTTTGTTTATAATTACTTAATCAATTACTTTAATATGTTTATAGAACTTACTTACTCTTTTAATTATCTAGTTATTCCTTATTTAATATTTTCAATAAAAATATTACTTTTAATTTATCAACAAGTTTATTTAAATAAAATTGTGCTAATTTCAATCCTTTTTAATTATTATATTATAACTTCAAGTAAAATATGAACAAATGACTTGAGGAGGATCCAAAAGAACATGAGTGCCCATTCCCTAGCTTCTAGCTTCCTTAGAGAGATAATTCGCACAAAAGCTGGCTTCTTTATAAATATGTTGCACTTCACAATGCTCATATTGCTAGATAGCAACAACTAGTTGTAAAACAGCTCCTGAAGAAGTCACTTCACTGGTGATGAGCTAAACAACTGATTTACTATCACATTCCACATAAAGAAAATTAACCCCAAGCTGCTTATTCATCTGAAGTAAGTCCCTTACAATAATCCATAATTTAGCAGATGATCGAGCATGTCCCAATTTTTTTAACAAAGCTTCGAATTGTTGTGCGGTGCCCACTCAGTAGGACCCACACTTTGTTGAAAATAGAAGATGATAGGTGATCAACCACATGTAATTTAAAAAAAAAAAAAGAAGAAAAGAAGTCTTTGGTAGGTGATCCGTTGGTAGGTGGACGGGTTAATCACGCATCCACCTCTCCTAATCAGGCTTCCACCTCTCCTATAAGTAGGAGATGGTGTTAGAGCTTCAACACACCAACGAGTAGAGCAAAAACAAAAGAGAGAGTTTTGAGTTTTAGAACGGGTTCTAAAACTTGGGTAGTTAAAATAGTGAAGATAATTTAGGGTGTTTAAAAACAAAAGAGAGAGTTTTGAGTTTTAGAACAGGTTCTAAAACTTGGGTAGTTAAAATAGTGAAGATAATTTAGGGTGTTTTTGGGAAACACTTTTGAGCGCCAATGTTTTGTATTACTCTCTTTGCTATTTTTAATAGTGGAAGAAATATTCGGTTTTTGTCCCGTGGACGTAGCCCTAAAAAGTTAAAGGGTGAACCACGTAAATATCTATGTGTCATATTTATATTTTTCCGCTGTGTGATTATCGTAATTTTATTGCCGGCCCTAACAAGTGGTATCAGAGCTGAAGGTTTACCGGAGCAGTGGATATATTTTAAAAATAAATATACCACGACGACGAAAAAATTACGCCGAGTCCATTGGTGCAGTCCGTTCGGAAAGACGTTGCAGAATCGACTTAGTGATGAATAGTAAAATAGTAACTCAAAATTGATGGTGAAAATAATAAGTAACGCTCAAAATTCTGAATGGTCGAACAGTCTATCTGGGCGGCGTTCACTAGCGCGGCGAGGTCGTATTAGAAAGCCCGAGGCAACTGCAGAAAGAATGGACGACAGAACAACAGGCACATATGCGTCGAGGACGCACGCATCAAAAACCAGATGCCAGTAATGGAGAAGGATATTATGGAAGACCCTTCTAATGCCTGCACAAGATCTCTTCATGACCATTGAAGTTCTGAAAGCGTCAGACCCAAGGCTTCAAAGTAGAATGAGACCGATCTGGAAGTCGACGTACATAGAAAAGCGCCAGTCGTAACAATTAGGCTCCGCAGTGCGTTGAAATGAGGTCGCATAATCATTCCATCCGCTCGTACATGTGGCAGACGGAAGAAGCAGATGCCATATCATCAATCGTGGAGAAGACTGGTAGTCGTGGTAAGCGGCAGCTAGTACCGAACGGGAAGATATGGCCCAGAACGAAAGCTTCTTAGATTAAACAAAAGCTGTGTATCTATAAGTACAGGACAATGGCGAAAGTGCTACGAGATCACTGCGGCAGAGCTTTCAATGAAATAGTGATACAACAAGAGCTGACTAGTACGTCAACCAATTCAGTGTTGAGTGACGACCAGGCTGCAGGAGGCACTAAGTTCCTTATTGAGTATCCTTGCCAGATTGCCAGTTCTGGGCAGACGCGATGATTAGTTATTAGCACCTCAGTAATGGTGTCAGAGGGGAATACTCAGACTTGTACACACAGGTTAACCAGGGGGCAAAGCTGACATTCCCTTTAGAAGATGGGATAAGTAAACTACCCAGGTGGACGTCATCAGGCGAAATGGGTACGATACACGCCACCCAACACTGCAGCTTTAACAGTTACACCGGAAAAGGGAGAGGGCACGAAGCAAGAACAAACCAGAATCACCCCCAAAAACCAGGACAATACGTACAGGCGTTCACAAGACGCATCCAAGTCAAAGGAAAGGTGTCACTTGCTGATCAATCTGTCGCAGAGAGACCCGACCTCACATCCAAGAGGGCACTCGGAGAAATCGCGAAGAGCAACGGAACGAGCCAAAGAAATGATGAGGGAAAAACAGTACCGTATACGGAGGGTAGCTCAAAGCTAGCTATTGATGTTGACACACTTGGTGATGACTCACGTTGCGTGGTTTCTCGATGACTGGGTCGTGAGTAGGAGTGTTTCCACTAGTCAACAAATCTCAAGTTGGATGTAATTTTGACGGTCGTGGAGTGTCTCTTATCATAACTTTCTTCAAAGGAAGGAATATTTTCATCAACTTACCGCTCGATAGATTACGGCCATGTCAAGAGGACTATTTGAATAGGCACATAGTATGTGGAACCTGGCGGCATTAGGAACAAAATGCATCAAAAACCCGACATGACGCTGCTGAGGTCATCCTTGATGCTCTGGGTTGAAGATGTGAGCATACACTCCTAACGGCTAAACTTTCATCTAATCTCAGTTCATTGTCTTGATGAATGGGCTAGGCAAATCCTGTTATGTCAACAGACATGGAAGCTTTGCCAAGGTAATTGAGAGTGTTCAAGAGTAAGAAGAAAGTTTCAACACACCCTCTATATCACCCAGGCCAAAGTTTGCACGGGAGTGGCTAAATGCAAGTTGACAGATTCCATCTCTGAGTTTGTGGCACCAACGACTGTTCCGCGTCATTTGAGTGAGAAAGCGAAAATGGAGACTCTCACATAAGCAAGAAAATGGCTATCTTTGAAAGGTTTGCCCGTCTGAAAATATTGCACTGGATTGTTTTGTACTGGTAAACAACATAGAGTATTCCTTTCAAAGGATCTCCTTCTCCATCTAGAAAACCGTGGTATTGTCTAGAATTGTAGCAATAGCTTGGGATGTTTGCACTCTCTCTACTGGTGACAAAATCCTGAGTGAATGCTCATAATTCATGTCAGCTTTTCATTGATTGACCCATCCTCTATGAAAGGTGAAGGGCTTTACCCAATAAAGTCAAACAGACAGGTTTTGGATATGTATTCACAGAGTCTTGTCATGTCAGTGTTGAGAGAAGCAAACGGGAAGAAAGCTAAAATGTGTTTTAGAGGCTGAAATGGGTGGTGAGGTGACAGAGGTCCATTGAGAAGGTAATTGGCTGCAGGAACATGGCATCAGGACTTCAGAAGATAGTCTCCCGAAAACTCCACAACAGAAGGAAGGTTTGCAGAGAGAATGAACACGAGAACCTATTGTTTGAACTAGGGTGATGTATGCTCTCTCAGTCTAAACTTCCTAAAATTTTGGACTGAGCAATGAATACTGCAGTTTACTGATCAACCGCTTTCACCTTCACCTCCCTCAAAGGAGATGTACCAGAAAAAGGTGTGGTCAGGGAAAATATTTCTTACGATCACCTTAGAATATTTGCTGCAGGAGCTTTTGTTCATATCCCAAAAAGATGAAGGGAGATCCAGCTTGGATTCGAAGTCAAAACAGTGCTATCTCCTTTGGGTTTAATGGAAATGATGATTTTGGGGTACGAGATATGGGGATCTCAGTTGAAAGAAGCTCATCAGAACAGAAGATGGTAGTATTACTGTGGAAGACCCAAACCATTGAAGACTCTTGAGAAAAATGAAAAAGCCAAAAGTCGTAATCAATGAATTTTCTGTTTAGTCTTGGAAAATGGCAGAAACGTCGTGCAGGAACACAAACGATGAAGAAGACAAAGGTGAACCAGTTCCACAATGAGCGTCCGAGAATACCAGCTCCAATAAGAAGAACTGCCGATCAATTGAGAAGAATCTTGCGGCGAGGGGCACCGGATTGTGAACTTCCCACGAGATATCTCTCTGCAAGATGGAGGTTGCGGAACTTGGTTGAATCAAGGGGGAAGAACAAGAGAACTACCAGGAGCAATGGAAGCATTGTAAGAAAGAAATGAAATGGATGGAAAGCCATGCACAAATGAAGATGGAGTTCCTTGTATGAGAACAGACCTTATGAAGTGGTGAAACTCTTCAAGGTTAAGAAGGGCCACTGAAGAACCAAATGGGGTGTTCCAGGTCTTGAAAGACTGTAACAGAACACTCACACAGCCGAGGTACAAGGCAAGACTGGGGTTGTGCGAAGGGATTCGTCAGAAGAAAGGAGTGACTTTGAGAAGACAAAATTGTTCCTCACCTGTAAGCAACGAGCATTGTCCGTTCTCTATACTCAGGGCAGATTGTGCTCGGATGGGTTAGGCAACTAGCTGAATTTGGAGATCGAGCAATTTTGATGTAAAGACTGCTTTCGACTCCATGGTGACTCTAGAGGAGGACAATTTGATATGGGAACAGGCCAGAGAGGATTCAGAGTCAATAGGCAAAGAACACTTGGTGTGTAAATTGCAGAAGAGCATTTGTAGTCGC